GATCCTTTCTCGCCTTTTGATTTATTTTTCGCTCCCCCACCCATGGGGTTCATTGGTGTAAAAACCGATTGCTCTGGAGGCCGGGCGTCAGGTGGCTTCACGGCCTGTATCCCTGGCACGGCTGGAGAGGCCGAGGTGGGAGATCGTTTGAGCTCAGGAGTTTGAGACCAGCCTGAGCAGAGCGAGACCCTGTTCTTACCAAAGTATAGAAAATCGCCGGGCATGGTGGGCGTGCTTGTAGTCCCAAGCTACCTCGGAGGGCTGACAGAGGATCGCTTGAGCCAGGAGTGGAGGTTGCTGTGAGTGTAGGCTGATGGCCCGGCACTCTAGGCCTCGGGCAACAGAAGTAAGACTGCTCTCTCAAAAGAAGCCCAAAAAAACGCAAAAAGCCATTCTCTGTACAAAGAGCAGGCAGGAGTCCTTGGCAGTGTGTGGGCGGCTTGCTGGTTTAGGCGGAGTGAGGTCTCCGGATTTTTGGCTTTTGTGCAGGATTGTGTGTTGTTGTGTGTGGTGATGTGTTGCTGTGTGTGTGTAGACAGTGTGTGTGTGTGTTGTGTTTATTGTGTCCATGTGCTCTATAGTGTGTGTTGTATGTTGTTGTGTCCCAATGTGTGGTGGAGTCATGTGTATTCCTGTGTGTTGTGGCGTGGCCAAGGCGGGGTGGCCCTGAATGTGGATGAGTGAGAGATGACTGCTGTGCACCGCCTGGGATGTGCCGTGGGATGTGTGTGTGGGTCAGTTTGGGTGTTTCTGCCGAGGGGTTGGCCCTGAGCCCTGGGGCGGGGGTATTGGGGATGGCGGTGTTTTGTTGTGTGGTGTGTTGTAAACACCTGGGAGAGGTAGAGGTGACATGGAAATCCGGAATGTCCCGTGGTGTGCGTCTGTACCAGCCTGGTGTGTTCTGTGTGTAAGTTTGGAAGAGAAAGACCGCGCCCCTCAACACCCCAAGCTCTCCTTATCTTGCCTTGGCCCCACCTCTCTCTGCGCAAAGTTGGGTCTGAAAGAATAATCGCAGTGTCTGTAGCCTGCCTAACCCAGGTGGCAGTGTGTTGTGGACAACTGAACGTCTGGGCATTGTTGGTGGTATCTGTTCTGGTGCTTCTTGTGATATATGTGTTGAGGTTGTTTGGCCAGTGTGTGTGTCCGCAGCCCTGCGATGAACCGGATGCCCCACCCCCAAGAACAACCTGACTCCAGTTCAACCAGTGCCCTCGCGCCTGGAGAACCCCTTTGGCGTCTGTAATCTGTCCATTTAGCAGTTGAGATGGAGGGCCAGAAGCCACGTGTCCGAAGTCAACAGGCAGGTATGAAATAACCAAACCGGGATGAGTGACTTCCGCCGCCCCGCCGTTCTGCGTCGCTGTTGCTTAAATTCAGGTTCTGAGCCTGTCTTCCGGCCGTGCTCTCTGTCCTGTGCCAACCTGCCCAAACGTGCCCCTTCTGCGTTGGTCGC